TGAGATGAATCTTCTAGTTTTTGGCACACAAAATATTTCAATTACTATAATGATCATCTGATCTTAACATTTATATACGTATTAAAGTACATTCCATGTTTTGTGTAATCTTGAAGTAAATGGAGTTCTCTCTTAAATTTGTGTCAAGTGTAATTGAGGGAATTCTTAACTCTTATTATTTTAAAATGTCTCAGTATTCCCTTTTGTTATATAAAAATAAATCCAATATAGTTTAGACTACCAAGATTGAGACAAAGTAGTGCCTATATTCACAGTAAAGATGTAGAGGTGAGGCTGGAAGAAGCCGTGTCTCCTTGGGCTTGCAATTACCTAGGTGCCTCTCTTTAGCTGTTTAGCTTTTTAGCTTTTGCACATTTCACGAAAGCATTCCTGAACACTATTTTTAAACTTCTCAATAATTTACCAGTTAAAAATAGCTCAGTAATTTGAGGGGAGTGTTGTTTTCACCAAAGCTGAGCTCTTCTGCTTGTTAACCTTGAGCAAGCTGCAAATCTCTGCTTGCCTCAGTTTCCCCCATAGGCAAAAGGAGATTAATAAGCACCTCAGAGCTCCTTGAGATTCTCTAATGGAAAGCTTTATGTAAGAGTAAAGTGCTATAATTATTATTGCTATTATTATTGTACCTGTTATGTGTTTTATAAAGCTTAGGGTGATGTTCACACCTAAATAAAGCTCCATGTCTCCATTGGAGCCACTGACAACTCCAGAGGGTGATTCAGACCACGAAAATTAGGCATTTAATTTTGAAATTATTTTAATCAGGAAAGTCCTGGAGATTTCAGTCTTTTTCCTCTACTTTTAGAGAAAACATAGCGAAGTTTAAATCCCATTCCTAAAGCTGGAATTCATCTTGCTGAACTTCAGTGGTGTAAAAGTTAGGTGCCTTGGCTAAGGTGGCTGTCTAAGCTCTTTCTGTTTACTGGGGAAGGAGGGGAGATGGTGATGCTCCAGGCTGTAGTTTCCAGACTGAGATTACCTTACTCCTAACAACTTCTCTCTGGCTACAGTGGGAGTGAGGTTAGGTGATAAGCTTCACACAACATGCCTAAATTTAAGAAAGTTAAAGAGAAATAATAATTTAGAATCAGAGTCATGGAATGGTTTGGGTTGGAAAGGACCTTAAAGACCATCTAGTTCCAACCCCCCTGCCATGGGCAGGGTCACCTTCCATCAGACCAGGTTGCTCCAAGCCCCATCCAACCTGGCCTTGAACACTTCCAGAAATGAGGCAGCCACAGCTTCTCTGGGCAACCTGTGCCAGTGCCTCACCACCCTCACAGTCAAATATTTCTGTCTAATATCCAATTTAATCCTGCCCTCTTTCAGTTTGAAGCCATCCCCCCTTTTCCTATCCTTCCATGCCCTTGTCCAAAGTCCCTCTCCAGCTCTCTTGTAACCCCTTTAGGTACTGCAAGGTGTTCTAAGGTGTCTCCCCAGAGCCTTTTCTTCTCCAGGTTGAACAACCCCAACTCTCTCAGCCTGTCTACATTGACGTAAAGGTCTAAATTCCCCATTTAGGTTCTGCTAGCTAATATCTTGTTTCCTGTGCATTGATACACAGTTGTTGCAGTGGAAAAGTACAGTGCTTCTTATAGAATCGCTGCTTTTAACCTACAGCTGAGATTTTACCGTTGATTCTCATTTTTTTGCTTGTGTTGCCATTATAATAAAATAAGGGATAATAGTAGTGTGGATCTTACAGTACAGTTTAGACCACTGAATGTTGAGATGTGGCTCTATGAAACATGGGAGCAGATAGTAGATAAGAAATTATTTAATTTTCTATGTTGCAAGTTTAAAAGGAAGGTTGATATGTGTAGACATGAATTTTTGTGCATGTGACTTCTGATTCAGTTGTCCTCCGAATTCTTTAAAAATAAAAAATGCAGTCTTTCCCTACCCCTGTTAACATTAAATGTCAACATCTATATTTTGCTGATGGTATTTACTAACTTTCATCTTTGCCTTTTTCAAGAATTTTTTGCTTTAGAAATGAATTATATCACCAGGGATATGTACGTCTTCCAGCTACTTTGGCTTCTCAAAAGATGTGATTTTTCTTAAATGGTTTGTTTAAGCTATTGATCAGGGAACCTCCTAATTATGCTACATTAAGTTTTGATTCTGGCATGATTTGTTTTGGTGACTGTTTTTCTATACGTTGAAATCCTGTTACAATAAGTAATTGCAAGGAGTGGCTCTATTGTAAAGAAAAGATGATAAAGTACAATTTTCCTTGTAGTTAATCCTTTTACCTTTTCAACCTGAAAGTATTTTTAAACTTTATTTCCCAGCTGAAGCCAATTGTCCTTATTTCTTGGTACCACCCATTCACTTTGTATCACATCACTGGGTGATCATGTAGTTGGCTAGGGAAGTATTATTTATTTCCAAATTTAACTGCTGCTGTCCAATCATTATAGCACTGAAAAGGAAACAGGCTTTTGGGAACCATGGATTTTTTAGAGGATTTTTTATATGCCGTCGCTGCAACTTTCATCTAGTTGTAGTTGTCTACAACTTACTGTTTGGGGGTTTTTAAACACACATAGGCATTTATTGCTTATTTCTTCTTTTATACATGCTGAGAATCTGGGGATTTGTTGCACCATCAAGACCATTATCTTGGCTTTGTTGGTCATTTACTGGTGATAGGTATAGTTAACACTGGTTTTCAACCTTTGGTTTTCAAACCTGATCCTGAAAGGCAAGGCTGAGAAAAGCAAAAATAGATCTCAGCTGTTATTGCTTTGTAAATAGGCAGCTTGTGTTTTTTCCAGATTGTAAAATTGGTGGGTCTTACACTGACAAATATAATTACAGTATGTATATTATATTGAAAATATTTTTTGTCTGTTTGATGTATACTAAATTGAAGCAAAGTTATAAGCTGTTCTGTTTGGAAGTGTGGAAGATACAAGAGTGGAGCTACAGATAACAAGTTTATGCTTGTATTTCCTACTGATGAAGACTTTCACACAAGTTATTTCTATGGGTAGGTGATGAGAATATCACTCTGCATGTATGTGTGTTTATTATACATTTTTGCATGATTATACATGTAGGAGTGGTACAATTTTGACTTGAGACTATTGGTGCCATTTGTCCCAGTACAATTTTACTTGTGTAGACGTCTATCTAAATCCAAGTTTTGCTTCTGTTTTTGTACATCTAAGAAGTGAGAGAAACAAAGACCTGAAGGAACAGTACATAGCTCCTTAAATTTTAGATAACCTTTTGAAAAAATGGGCAAATAGTCAATATTGTACTTCACCCTTGTATCTTCTGCACTCAACTATTTATTTTTATAGCTCACATTATATATGTTCATGCTGAACTCTAATGATAAGACTGAAAGAAAACATGCCTCTCATGATTCAGTCCAGTTGTAACTTCTGCATGTAATTTAATCATCAGCTGTCACAAGTAATTAACTGAACATCAGCCAGCTTAATTTTGAACTTGGTATTCCATTATTTTGTAATTGCCTTTTAAAAATACAAAGATTGCCTTTCAGTTAATTATCAGGACTTCTTTTCCAGTCATAATCATTATCTGTTCATGCTGCAAACAGTTTGGTCTTTAATACATTGGCATTTAACTACCCATTTATTTTTGTCGGGTCAGTTTTAAGTTTGTAATATAACATCACTTTATGAACTTGTTGTTTTGGAGGCAGGTCTGATTGGAAATATTTTGTGAATTTCTTCATACCTTGTTGCAAAACTGATCTTTAGCATGAATTAAACAATATGGTCACTTTTCAATGAAGTGTGTTGCTAATCACAAAATAGGCGCTTCTGAAAATAGCAAGTTGAATTATGTTTCAGGCACCAAGTTACAAAAGAAACCAAAACAAAACCAAACCCAAAAAGAACCCACCCTAAAAACCTCAGGAGAAACAGCTTTTCAGAGAATTAAATTTGAAACTTATTTCTATTTCATCCTTGTTTTTGTTGATGAAGTCTTGACCCAAAGAAAGTTTTGATTCTCTAATTTGGGGAGTGGGAACTCCAACAGCTTTCATCCACTCTGAGCTGTAGCTGGGATGAGGCATTTGAGTTAAATCGCACATCCTTTCAGAATTATTTATCCATTCTCTCTGCTTCCACATTAAACTTTGTCTTGACTGATTTTTTTTTTTTTGAGCCTCTTCTGTTTTTAGCATGCTTTCCAATTATAAGTGATTTTCATTCATCACAAAGAATATAATTGGTCCTAACAAAATAGACCAAAAATAGCTTTTTGTTATTCCTCAAGAACAGATTTCAGAATCACATAAGCTATTTTCTCTCCCTCTTTCCTTCTTCACTTTGGTGGCCAAAAATGCATATGGTTATCATAGTGAATTAAAAGCATATTTATCACTGCACATTATAGTTTTGTTTCTTGTTATTCTCAATCTTTAAAAAAAACAACACCAAAAAACATTGCCACTTTGAAAAATTCCGCTACCTTTGACAGGTAAATGTTATGAAAGTTGCCTAATTTATTGTCACTGGATCAGTTATATCAAAAACTTTGTTTTATTCAATCAACCATAAAGTAATGTAAGGTCTCACTTGACTTTTGCAAAATTCTCTAGATAAATATTTTGTCTTGCCAAATTTAATGTCCTGTAACTTATTATTTCTGATTTAAACTGAAGTTTATCCTTTTAAGATTGTAAATGTAACGTCATCAGATATGGAGATGTTGATGTGTTAATGTAAAAGATAATACACAAATAACTGATAATTTCATAAATGTGGTTTTCTTACATTTGTGTTTTCTGTGTATGCAAAGGTTAAAATGTCTGTAATCTCAGACTATGTTCATTAACTGAAGTTTAATGATTCGTATAATGTATCACTATAAACTATAACTTTATGAGCTTCATGTAGGAGATTGCATTAATACTTAAATTATTGTAATTTGTACTTTTAGATGTGTTTTTCAGAGTATGATGACTTCTATGTTGCTTTTCTCTCCTTCTGCAGATGGACCTTCAGTTGTAGCTCACTATGATATATCAGACACAAACTCAGACCCAGAAGTGGTAAATGTGGACCATCTGTTGGCAGCTGCAGTAGTTCAAGAGCACAATAATTCTTTAGGAAATCAAGACTCAGTATCTACCTGGAGAACCAGAGGACTGCTAGATGAACTGAGTGCTGATACAGGTTTGTTTAAATTCTCTTCCTCTGACATTTGTTCCAACATCTCAGTTGGTGTCTCTCCCTTTCTTGCTTTCAGTATTTTTATAGTTTATAAAACTTTAAAAACTCCCTATGTGGATTTTGCAAAAAACAAGTACGGGTGCTTATTAAAAAGGTCTGATATTTATTCCAAAATATAACTCATAAAAATTGACAAAGATTCCTGCAATCTTTTTGACGCTAATTTTATTAATTATTTTTTCTCCTTTGTTTCCTTCTAATTAATACTTGGAACTTAGGTCTGGAGTTTTGGTGTTGGTTTTTTTTTAAATGAAAATGAGCTAGGCTTGTTTCTGAATGATTGATTATGATGACCCATGCCACCAGCTAGTAAACTGATCTGCTAAAGAAGAGTTCAGAGCCTGGGTTCTGAGGCAGAGTCAGTTGATTTCAGCTCAAGCTGGGTACCTCCAGAGAGGGACCCTAAACAAAGAAATCCCTGGGCCTTTATAACCTCACAGTCTGTGCACCCAATCTTCACATGCCCTGCATGCATCTCTTGGTCCAATGGTGATTTATGGTCTGGGGTCATCTAACACCTCATTGGATTCTTTCTTCATGTCCATATGGGCAGGCCATTAACTGCTCTTATCTTCCAGCTTGGGGCCCTCCAGGATCTCAACCCTTATCTGAAGGTATCCAGTCTTTCTCTGTTTACTCCCCAGTTTAGCTGATCATGCTAACAAACAGGGTTCATTTAAAGTTCACTTATGCCAAGCTTTGAGCAGGGCCCACCCATGCTAAACTAGGCAAGTTACAATGAAACTTAAAACTGCACAATTAATTTCTAATATTATATAAGTAAACCTAATTTAATCCCCAACAGGTCATAATCTCATTTTAAGTATTGGAATGGTCTGTGTGTGTGCTTTCTGTTTGCCCCTTTATTTATTTAAAATACAAGAATTAATTATTCCCATATTCCATCTGTTGCCTAAATGGCTGTGGGGAAAAAAAAGACCAAGCCAAATTAGGTAGGAGATAAAATAAGGATACAAAGGCTTTAATGAGCCCCCCAGATTTCTGGAATATACCAATGCCCGCTCTCAAATACAGGTGTTTACAGTTTTTATAATGATTTTCACCCAATCCCTGTCCAGCCACTGCCCAGGTTCTGCCCAGGTTCTGCCCCCCGCCACGCCTCTCGGGAATTGAGTCTGGGGGCATTTTGGGACCCCCTCTTCTTCATCTTCCTCAGAGCATGTAATGTTCTTGGAAGCCTTCCAGAACTCTAGGCCTGAAGGTTGTTGCGTCTATGGTTATATCTTCTTGCGTAGATTTTAGGGTGTTCTCTACAATTCTACCTTGAAAATGAGACTAAATAGGCCAGTGGAATTTAGGGGAATTGATATGGGAATGGGTTACAGAGTTTGCTATGTGTGGTTGGTGTGTTAAAGGGTAAAGGGATAATGTATTGCTACTTCTAAAATCTACATACACTATATAACTACTTCTAAAATCTACAAAATTTAAAAAAAAATCAAACCTCCAAGGTATCAGTGCCCTGAGCTGGAGGACTATGACTGCAAGAATGATCAACTCCCAGTCGACCCTGAAATTGTGCAGGATCTGCTGCTCCAGGTGGATTCTCACAAATCTACGGGGCCTGATGGGATCCATCCAAGAATCCTCAAAGAGCTGATGATGTAATCACAAAACCTCTCTTGATTTTTGAGTGGTCTTGGGAATCCTGAGAGGTCCCAGCTGACTGGAAGCTGGGGAACATTGTCCCGATTTTCAAGAAGGGCAAGAAGGAGAACCCTGGAAACTACAGGCCTGTCAGTCTCACTTCAGTGTCTGGTAAAGTTATGGAGAAAATTATTCTGGGAGATATTGAAAAACACCTGTGTTGTAGTTTTAGTTAAATGGTAAGGATTTTCAGTGATAAATATTTCATACCACCACATAATTTGGAGCTTGTGGACCACCCCCATCCAAGCTGGATCTGAGACTGCCCCCAGGGTCTCAGAACCCATTAGAAAGGTGGGTCCCTGGAGTCAAGCATCCTGGAAAATCAAAAATAAAGAGATAAAAGGCAGGTGCAGGCCAGAACTGCTCTCTCTGTACCTAGTTTTTGCTTGTTTGAGCACTGTGGACTCTCAGAGTCTTTGCCAGTGTTCAGCCATTCCTTCACTGTCCAACCGGGCTCAGACACAGGGTAACCACCATAGCACTGTCTTCAGAGAACTTTTGGAGCTATTTTGCAATAGTCCAAAGGCTACCATGCCAGCTCAGGATTCCCCTTCCTGGAGTCACCACTGCCTCAGCTGTAGCAGTTTTGCTCTATGACCCACACAAAGCGCTGCAGCCCCCCCGCTACCAAGACCTAGCCACAGAAACCCGATACACCCTAGAAGAGGGTACCATTGCCTTTGCAGAGCAAATAGGTTTGTAAAAAGCTCTAGCCACCGCTTTTCTGCCCTAACCTCGCCCGGAGCCAGCGGATGAAAGCCTCGCCACAGCTCCTGGAAGCAACTTTGGCCACTTTGTCTTTCTTGGGACTTCTGTAAAGTACTGTGGGATCGTGTTAGCTGTTTGGAGAAAAACCCTTTGAAAAACAAGGGCTGTAAACTGCTCCAGTTTTATGCTTCTCTAGTTATTTTGCGTCTTCGTTTACCTTGGATTATATGTGGGAATCTATATTTTATGTGGAAAAAAAGTTCTAAGTTGTTCGTTGCTTATCTAGCCTGCGTTCGGCCGGAGCTCCTAACATCTAATTGGTTGCAAATGCGGTTTCGAGCAACACAACCATGGGAGGAGAATATTAAATTTAACTGTGACACTTTTTCCTTTTTAAAAAGGAAAAAGGCAATCTGAGCAGACTTGTAATAATTTAACTATCTCCCCGATTCCAATATTGTAACTTTCTTTGCCTTGAGGTTATTGGACAACTACTTAAAAGGCCACTTTTTGAAAGACTTGGGGTTTTTTTTTTAATTTTTTAGGTTTACGTTGTGTAGCTTATAGGGAGAGCTTCCACCTTTGTTAAGTAGCATCTAATTGTATTTATGTCTTTGTTAATAGCGGAACAAGGCAACTTGTCTTAAAGTTTGTAGGTACCTTTGTGAAACCATAGCTGTAGTAACTTTGTTAAACAAGGTCTTGGTTGTAACTAGTTACACACTTTAAACCAGTACAAAGTACCTAACAGCATTTCAAAGGCTGAAAAATCTTGTGTGTAGAGGTTCTATAGCATAAGTCAGTCGTGTTTGGTATTGTGGGGTGTTTTTTTTTTTACTGTTAAGTAATTCTAGCTTTTAAAAATGCATGAGTAGTCAATCTTTGAACCCTTGACCATCTCTTTAAAAATGTACAATTTCTCCTAATTCCTTTTCCCAAAGGTTTTAATTGGTTTCAATTCTCCTCTGGTACTTGTCAAGCATAAGGCCAAAAAATAGGCCAGCCCTTGCCTATAAGTGAAACTATTTTCAGTTTTCAAGCTCAAGTTTTAAGTACAAGCAGTAATAGCTCTCCCCTTAGAACAGCAGACAAACATTAAATTAAAAATATTTCTCTTAAAGTATCTTACATTGCTTAAGTCTATTAAAAAATGTAATGTTTGACCTTGAGATGGAAACTGAGTATGGTGCTCTTCTGAGGTCTTTATCTTGTGGTTCTGCTGCCCTAGTTAACACCTGTAATTACCGTGTTTGTGATATAAGAGCTGAAAGTCAGGCAGTCACAACAGTGCGGCTTTTCCTGTTGCCCTGTGTAGTGGGTTGACCCTGGCTGGATGCCAGGTACCCACTAAAGCCGCTCTTTCCCTCCCCTCTGCAACTGGACAGAGGAGAGAAAATACAATGAAGGATTCATGAGCTAAGAGCCAGGAGAGGTCACTTACTGATCACCATCACGGGCAAAACAGACTCAAAGTGGGGATACTAATTAAATTTATTACTAACAGGATCAGAGCAAAAGAGTGAGAAGTAAAATAATCTTAAAAACACTTTCCCCCCCCACCCCTCCCTCCTTCCTTCCTTCCTTCCCAGTTCTGCCTCCTCCCCCCAGTGGTGCAGGGAGATGGGGAATGGGGCTTACAGTCAGTTGTTTCCCCTGCTCCCATGGGGTCCCTCCCACGGGAGACAGTCCTTCACAAACTTCTCCGGCATGAGTCCATCTCACGGCAACAGTTCTTCACGAAACTGCTGCCATGTGGGTCACTTCTCCATGGGGTGCAGTCCTTCAGGAGCAAGCTGCTCCAATGTTGGTCCCCCACAGGGCCACAAGTCCTACCAGCGAAACCTGCTCCAGCGTGGGCTCCTCTCTCCACAGGCTGCAGGTCCCTGCCAAGACTCTGCTCCAGCATGGGCCTCCCACGGGGCTGCAGGTGGATCTCTGCACCCCGGTGATCCTCCATGGGCTGCAGGGGGACAACCTGCTCCACCATGGTCCGCACCACAGGCTGCAGGGGAACCTCAGCTCTGGCACCTGGAGTACTTCCTCCCCCTCCTTCTCCACTGACCTTGGTGTCTACATTGTTGTTCATATGTTCTCACTCTGCTCTTCACTGGCTGCAATTTGCATCTGCACAATAACTTTCTTTCCCTTCTTAAATATGTTTTCACGGAGGCGTTGCTATCACTCCTGATTGGCTCAGCCAGCAGTGGGTCTGTCCTGGAGCAGGCTGGCATTGGCTCTACCAGACATGGGGGAAGCTTCTAGAAGCTTTTAACAGAAGCCACCCCTGTAGCCCCCCCGCTACCAAGACCTGGCCACAGAAACCCGATACACCCTGGAAGAGGGTACCATTGCCTTTGCAGAGCAAATAGGTTTGTAACAAGCTCTAAGAGAGTCATTAAGTTGCTTGTCATATATTTGTGAAGCCCACATATCTCATACCACCCCCACCCCCCCCGTACATGTATGATACCAAAGCAGTGAGATGAAGTGTGGAGAACTCAACTGTCTGACAGCAATCATTTTTGAGTATAATTTTCTAATTATTTCTCACCTCTAGGGACCTA